GGTCTTCTTCCGGTGATCTGCCTCGCCTTTGAAGTGCTTGCCTTTATTTCGACATTGATGGTTGGTTGGAAGGAATCGACGATGCCCCAGGTAAACATTCTTCCTGCTTTTGTCCAGGTATATACTTTCAATGTCATCTAAATAGTGCGTGCATGTGTGGTATCCCTTGTTTGTCTGTCCTGAAAGGTTATTGAGAGCAGGCCAATCATTGATGGTGACAAACAGCAACGCATGCAGGTCAAATTCCTCCTGTTTGTGCTCATCCCACGCACGTACACCGTTTCCAATCCACAGCTGTAAAAGTTCGTCAACTAATGGCCTTAGGTACACATCAATGTCGTTGCCGGGTTACTTAGGGCCTTGGATGAGACCTGGCATCATAATAAACTTCCGCTTCATGCACAACCAAGGAGGAAGGTTATAGATACATAGAGTCACGGGCCAGGTGTTGTGATTGCCGCTCTGCTCCCTGAAAGGATTAATGCCATCTGTGTTTAAACCAAACCATACGTTCCTTGCGTCACCTGCAAACTCCTCCCAGTACTTTCTCTCGATTTTTCTCCACTGCGACCCGTCAGTGGGTGCTCTCAACCTCCCGTCTTCTTACGGTCATCTATGTGCCATCGCATCAACTTGGCATGCTCATTGTTTCCGAACAGGCGTTTCAACCGTGGTATTATAGGAGCATACCACATCACCTTGGTAGGAACCCTCTTCCGGGGGCGCTCGCCGTCAACATCACCAGGGTCATCTCATCTGATCTTATACTGCAATCACCGCATACCAGTCATGCGTTCAAATCCTCGTACGCACCAGGGTACAGGATGCAGTCATTAGGGCATGCATGTATCTTCTGCACCTCCAATCCTAGAGGGCAAACAACCTTCTTTGATGCATACGTACTATCGGGCAATTCGTTATCCTTTGGAAGCTTCTTCTTCAATATTTTCAGTAGCTTCTCAAATCATTTGTCAGACACACCATTCTCTGCCTTCCACTGCAGCAATTCCAGTACGGTACCGAGCTTTGTGTTGCCATCTTCGCAATTGGGGTACAAACCTTTTTTGTGATCCTCTAGCATGCGATCGAACTTCACATTCTCCTTTTCACTTTCGCACTGACTCCTTGCATCAACAATGACCCAACGGAGATCATCATCGGGCACATCGTCTGGTTCCCCTTGATCTTCAACAGCTTCCCTCGTTGAAGCATCACCGTATTCAGGGGGGGGCACATAGTTGTCATCGTACTCTTCTTCTTCGTTGTCTTCCATCATAACCCCTATTTCTCCGTGCTTGGTCCAAACATTATAGTGTGGCATGAAACCCTTCTCAAGAAGGTGGATGTGAAGGACTTTCCTGTTAGAGTAAGACTTCGCATTCTCACAGATAGGGCCTAGACAACACATAAAACCATTCTACTTGTTTGCCTCAACCACTTCGAGAAAATCATGCACGCCCTTAATGTACTCGGAGGTGTGTCTGTCACCGTACATCCATTGCCAGTTCATCTGCGTGCATTATATATAATTAAGTGTGTCAAAACCATTACAGAACATCATGAATAGATAATTAAGTGACCAAATTAATAGAAGTTCATCATCGCATTAAAACCAAAGCACATACATAGTTCTCGTTGAACAACATATAACTCTCTAGAGCATCTAATTAATTTAACCATACATTGAAACTATGTAAAACATTTCAATGCGAAAACAAATGCGATCATAATCGCAACCAAGGTAACAATTGATCCAACGGCATAATGATACCAAGCCTCGGTATGAATGTCATATTTTCTAATCTTTCTAATCTTTCTAATCTTCAAGCGCATTGCATCCATCTTGATCTTGTGATCATCGACGACATCCGCAACATGAAACTCCAATATCATCTTCTCCTCCTCAATTTTTTTTATTTTTTCCTTCAAGAAATTGTTTTCTTCTTCAACTAAATTTAACCTCTCGACAATAGGGTCGGTTGGAATTTCCGGTTCACATACCTCCTAGATAAATAAAATCTATGTCACGTTGGTCGGCATAATTGTCATAAATAATAAATGAACCAAATAGTTATAAAGCTAGTATATACCACATCCGAATCATAGACAGGACGAGGGCCGATGGGGGTGGATACCAAAACCACCGCACTAAATAATAAGAAGCAATAATAAAAATAATAAAATTATACAAGTATCTATATAAACATACAAGTAAGATTTTTTTTCCTTTCAGAAAGAAGATAAGAACAAGAGGCTCGCCACGGTGGTGCCGGCGACGAGATCGGCGCGGGCGATCGACGGCGGTGAAGACCGGAACGGGACATGACGGACCGCTAAACCTTGACAAATATTGAGGAAAATGGAGCTTGGAGGTCGAGCTTGGAGAGGAGAAAGCTTAAGTAGTGTGGATCGGGCATTCCATCGAACACCTCGTGTGCATAGGAGGTGAGCTAGAGCACCACAAAGCTCTCCAACGGCCGGCCAGAAAAATAGAGCAGTGGAGTGCTCTACTCGCGGGCGAGGGGTATATATAGGCACCTCATTGGTCCCGGCTCGTGGCATGAACCGGGACTAAAGGCCACCCTTTGGTCCCGATTCGAGCCACCAACCGATACCAATGGTGGTGGGCCAGGAGCGAGGTCCATTGGTCCCGGTTCGTCCCACCAACCGGGACCAAAGGGGGCCAGACGAACCGGGACCAATACCCTCACGAGGCCCGGCGGGCCCCTGACCTCATGAATCGGGACCAATGGGCCCATGGGTCCCGGTTTGTGACAGAACCGGAACTAATGGGCTTATCTGGCCCGAACGTATGCCATGTTTTCTACTAGTGGGGGATGATGGCTCATAGACTTATTTTTAGTGAAAGATAGCTCATAGTTGGCGGATCCGGTTCTCTTCCCTGACCTGGCTTGACGGATTCAGGGCCAGGCTAGCATGGGGACAATCCCTAGCCAATGCACCACATCGATATGGGCCTTGCTACTTGTAGTGGGCCTATTCTTCTGCTCTAAAAGCCTTATAGGCTATGGTGCAACCTTTTTTGGCGAGGTTGGGTTTCTATTATGATGGGTGTCTCGATGACATTGAAACTTGGTGGCAGTTGATATATCCCTATAGGCCTTGTTGTAATTTCCTTGTTATTGGAGTCTTTTCAACAGTGTTTCTAAGACATTTGTTTTTCTCTGGTCCTTGTACTAGTTTCTGTCTACATATGTTCTTGTAGGTTGTAAGGGCATCTCCAACACGGACCTTCAAATCACCCTCATCCGTGTGGACTGCATGGTATGAACGTGTTTTTCATCCAACACGGGCCTATATCTGTTCGCGGGTGGTCCATGCGTTCATTTTCCGGCAAACCATGGGGGCTTTGTGGAAGTCCGGACCACAGCCACACAAGCGTCCGACAACTCTGGCCCACCCAAAACCCCTTCCCTCGCCAGTGCCCTCTTCCGCCGGAGCATCAGCACCGCGTTCATGTCGGCCTAGAGCGGATGCGACCAGTTGAAGGAGCCGACATTAAAGCGGCGCGCCGGCCTAGAGCGTCGTCCGCTGCATGCCCGTTGTGCACGCCTTCTCTCCACATTGAAACGGCATCCATATGCCCGCCTACCTCCACTAAACCAGCGCGTGTGCTAAGGAACCTACTCTGGGGTCTCGAGCTCCCTGCGTCCGTCCCTATGCCGGTCGGCATTAAACACCTCTCTGATTGACGACTTGCATCCGCCCACTATTTGAACGTGGCTAGGCACCGGGCAAGAACCCCACACCTCTGCTCTCCATCTCCTCCTTGCACCACACCCGTCATGGCCTCTCCAAAGCCCTGTGGGACAGCCTCTCTGGCGAGCAGAAGAAGGAGCTCTCCGACATTGCAGTCGGTTGAGTGGCCAGACGAGCCAGCCGGATACAGGCTGGCTTGCGGACAAGCTCTCCGGAGCCGGCGCCACCACCATCTCCAGGTCATCCCCGCCCATCCAGGTTGGCCAATGTCGTCTCTCGGCAAATCCATTGTGAGCGATGGCCGCAACGCGTAGGCGGAGAGCCGGAGACAGAAGCCGTGTTCCCAGAGGTCGACGTGGCGGTGGAGGGATTTAACTGGGCACCGATGACGTCGCCAACTTCACGTCGGCCATCCCCGTCGCCGCCACCAATACCGAGGAAAAGTAAACCATGAGAGGCCACCGCTGCTTGGATCCTAGGAAGGCCACCACCATCACCTCGGCGGGCTACATAGTCGGTGACTTGCCCGCTTCGCTGGGGCGTAGGCCATGGTGACCGTCTTCCCCCGCCCCAAAAGATGACCCTGATTCGTGCTTCATGGAAGCGGAGACTACTCTTTCCCTCCCGTTGAAGCATATCCCTCAGTGCTCAAGGCGGTCAGATGAGCTTGCTGCCGGACATGGGGAAGATCTGAGAAATGGGATCCGCCTCGGCCGGGGATAGACTACGATAGAATAACATAGCCTAGTCCGCTATACTTTAGTTGGAAATGTCTTAAATGTAAATGTTTTCGCCCGGTTTATATGAAAACCAACCGATTTGCACGAGTTTTGTCCGGTTTGAAATGTATGCGGCTAGGCCGGCTCCCGCACTGGTGTTCGCTAACTGGTCCTCCTTTTTTTCACTGACTGGACCCCATGCGGGATCCATGGACGGATGAAGTGTCCGGTTTAGAGGTCAGCGTTGGAGATGCCCTAACTAGTGTGTTTAATGAAGGCACGGTTATTTAAAAAAAAAGATAGGCGGCACAACTCTAGACCACAGAACACCACCGCCCAGCCTAGAACGCTTAGCAGCAGATATGAACCCTGGACCTGATTCTACCAATCTGGACACTCATACGTGTGGAGTAAAAAGCCAGACGAGAGAGATTGGTTGCGCTCGTCACAATCTGGCCTAAGTGATGCTCGTGACTTAGCTTCGAGGAGCCGGCTCCAATCTCGGTGTCCTCTCTCACTGTCCCTGAATCCTACAGCTTCAATTGTGGCCATCCGTTGCGGATGATGGTGCTCGCAGCCGCAGCGAGCGCACCGTCCCTCCAAGGTGTGCATAATTTCTCATCCCTGTCCCTCTTCTTCTTGCCCTGATTGGACACTGGAAACCAGAATCACAAGGTTTGGATGAAATCCACAGTCGGCAGTTATTATTTTCTGATTACCCTGGAATCTTCCGTCCGTCTTCTTGGCATTTATCTTCCTTTTTTCCCGTCACTTTTTTGGCACTTAATTATGTCATGTAAATGCGAATTCAATCATCATGTTGATGTCCTTACACTGGCAGATCATATTTGATCAGGTTGGAAACGCCAGATCTCAGCTGTTACCTGCCAGCATCCACATTCAGTCCCACTCCCACGCACTGTACGTCTTTCACACTGAACCGTCGAAAAATTCAGTTAGGTCCCCATGTATCAGTGACCAACCAAACCTTACATAAATATTGAAGGTGTTCAGAGTATCTGCAACAAAGAATAATGAGAGGAAACGGAGACGCTCCCGGAATCTGTCCAAAGGCCCAGCATTAATCGCCGAAGAAGCTTCCCCGAGCAACGGCGAAAACCCCACCACCATCCTTGATCTCAATGTCGATGATGATGCTACTAGCGATGAGAAAGCTGCGGGTGCCCCAAGGAGTGCTGTTCTTCAGTCTTGCACCCTCACATCCGGCTTGCTGCTTGCATTAGGTCTCCTTCTTCGTGAGGTAAACATTGTGTTTGCAGTGGTTCCATATCTAGTTTTCTCTGAACAAATCTCAGCTACTGGAAGCACAAGCCATTCTGAAGCATGCAAAATTCAGTAGTACGTACTCTCTAGTATGGCAGAACATCCTAGTGATCAAAATGTCATACCATCTCTTCTACAGGCATCACACGTTGCATCTTCAAATGGACTGCCGTTTGCTGACCCTACGGCCGTATCATGTCAGTTTGCTCCCTGCTCTGTTACGAAATGAAAGAGATGTCATGTAACGGTATTCAGTCAGCTAAATGTCCCCAACCAAACTAATCCTGTGCTTTTCTGCAGTCAATTTTGAAACCTGGCATCTCGAGTTGGTCGCCGGACTAGTAATATTGATATCGTCTACCAGATACATTCTGCTACAGATATGGCCCGATTTCAGAGATTCCAGTGAAGCCGCAAATACACAGGTATGTCCAACCTCTGAATTAAGTCTCATTTACTTACAAGTGTCTTTTGCAAACATGCAATACTTTAGGTTAAGATGCAGTATTTGTTCAGGTAAATAATTGTGCTTTTTTCGCATATTTTTCTGAACATTTCATAAAGGATCTTGTGAATTTGGATGAACTATACAATGGACAACAAGGCTTATGTTTTATTAAATTTTAATTATATTATTCGATACATGCAAGGCACGCACACAATTACTTGTCACAATCTACGTTACTTTGTGTAAACTGCCCTATTTTATTATTTTTACTTGCGCTCTTTTTGTGATGTCACTTTCAACTTAACTGGGCCTTGGCAAACTTACCCAACGGCATTAGCTAGTGAAAGTCCCCTTATTTCTACACTAACTTCTAATTATTTTACTTTTACCGTTAGATCCTTACTTCCCTGGAGTCTCTGGATTACATTGTAGTTGCTTGTCTCCCTGGGATAAGTGAAGTGAGCATATATCCTTCTTTAAAACTTCATTCAAGAATATTTATTTTCTTGAGAACTAACCTTCATGTCTACTTTCGATATCAGGAGTTCCTGTTTCGAGGGGCATTGATGCCAATTTTTGGATTGAATTGGATAAGTGCTCTAGCAACTGGTGTCTTTTTCGGTGTTCTTCACTTGGGAAATGGCAGGAGATATTCATTTGCAGTCTGGTAACAGTTCTCCAACTGTACTTTCGAAAATGTCTAATAGAATTGAAAAAAAGAGTAAGGGCTATTTGTTCGCAGTTCTTAAAACATGCCAACTACCACCTTTTATCTTGAGGGAGTTACCACCCAAATTTACTTTTTTTTTGGAAATGGAAGTTTACCCCCGGCCTCTGCATCACAATGATGCATGCAGCCATCTTATTAAAAGTATGCAAAGTAGCACAAAGTCTCAAAAGTATTACAGCTCACAAGCGGAGCGAAGCAAAAGAAAAACGGAAAAGTACATGCTGACAATCACAAACGGTACGGTAATATGTAGGATAAGGTTCCTAGAGTCCTATCCTGTTATGCGACCGCCATCCGAACCGGTTGAATATAGCCCGTGCTACCATCTCCCACTGGTTGCACCCAGTAACCAAAGGCTCCCTGGAGTCCATAGGAGTGAGTAAGGACCACATACGGATCCAAGCGGTAGCTCTGAAGATAACCTGCAAGAAATTAAATTGTATTGTCTGTTAAAAATAAAGTAATTCCGACAGTTCCATCCCACAGAAGCGCACATATTTCAATCCGAATACGAGCCGCAATAGTATGTTCAACCCCAGCTAACCACATTCGAAACAACGGCTCAATGTCAACTGGAGGGTTAATGTTGAAAGCTATATGAATCGTTCTCCAAAGCAATTTGGCGAGTGGGCATTCAATGAATAAATGTTGTATTGTTTCATCATGATCACAAAACAACAATGTGAGCTACCTACCCATCACCTCTTAATTAGATTGTCCTTGATGAGTATTACTTGCTTGCGGACAAACCACATAAAAAAATTATACACAAGGGAACCTTAATCCTCCAGATATGCAACGATCTTGAGATTGGGCCAAAATTAATCAAATCCAAATAAAATGATTTGACCGTAAAAACTCCATTTTTAGCTAGTTTCCATTGCGGCGAATCTGGTTGGTCAGAGAGTTGAACATCTATCAATCTCCGAACCAAGTGCATCCAAGCTGTCCATCGCTCACCAATTAGCGCACGTCTGAACTGAATATTCAAGGGGATCGTTTGGAAAATTGTGCCTACGTACTCCTCCTTACGTTGCACAATGTTATAAAGGGTTGGATATTGGAGAGCTAAGGGCGCCTCTCCTAACCACGTATCCTCCCACAATCTTGTTGACATCCCATTGCCAACCAAGAATTTGACCCTATGAAAGAATAAATCCTTCGTCCTCATAAGCCCTTTCCAGAATGGCGAGTCAGTTGGTCTCATGGTAACCTGAGCGATTGTTTTGGACTGCAAATATTTATTGCGCAAAATCTGTGCGCACATGCCCTCCGGCTCTGTCTCTAACCTGTAGAGCCATTTACTCATAAGACATTTGTTCTTGATTTCTAAGTTCTCAATACCAAGACCACCCTGGTCTTTTGGTCGGCAAAGGATATCCCATCGCGCGAGTCGGTACTTCCTCTTGGCCTCATCTGACCGCCAGAAGAACTGCGATCTAAAGAAATCAAGTCGCTTCCGAACCCCTTTCGGAATTTCGAAGAACGATAATAGGAACATCGGCATACTAGTCAATACCGAATTAATCAGCACTAGCCGACCTCCATAAGGCATAAGCTTACCCTTCCAGCAGCTCAGTTTTTTCTCAATTCGATCTTCGATACACTTCCATTCTTTATTAGATAACTTACGGTGATGAATCGGTATGCCCAAATAACTAAATGGTAAAGAACCTAATTCACACCCGAACAATTATCTATAAGTATCTTGCTCGTCTTTGGCCTTCCCAAAGCAGAACAGCTCACTCTTGTGAAAGTTTATCTTTAAACCAGACAATTGTTCGAAGAGACATAAAATAAGTTTCATATTACGCGCTTTAGCAATGTCATGTTCCATGAATAGGACAGTGTCGTCAGCGTATTGTAAGATGGATACTCCTCCATCAACTAGATGAGGAACTAACCCCTCCACTTGACCATGCTGCTTGGCTCTGCCAATAATAATGGCCAACATATCGGCCATTATATTAAACAACATAGGAGACATGGAAATTTACTAGTGTGTGCTCTTATATGTAAATATCTTTTGTGTTTCCAGGGCAACATTTGTTGGCCTTGCCTATGGTTTAGCAACCATAGCTTCCTCAAGCATCATAGTCCCAATGGCTTCTCACTCCATAAACAATATTATTGGAGGCTTACTTTGGCGCTTCAGGGACAGCTCAGAAAGAGAAATGTAGTTTGGACACACTACTGATACTCTGGCAGCTTCAGGGACAGTACTTCCCCTTGAACAGAAGTTTTCATTTGCAACTTCTACTTGTAGCACTAGCGTAGAATGTTTAGTTCTTACTGGACTCGTTCTTAAATCAGTTAATGCATGTATTATCCGTGGGTAAGTAGTCTTCAAATCATTTGGTGGTGAAGTAAGCTAACTAGCGATGACTGTTTTACTTGTGTCATGTTATCTTCCATGCTTTGTGAGCTGCTGATACTCTGGCGTATACCGAATCTAAAATCGTTTGTTATTTAACAAGAATTGCCATGGGTAGGTTTGATATTGCCAGAATCAGATCATGTTGCTTCAAAGTAACAAACACAATGTGTTATCGGAAAAGTAATATACAGCACGACTGAAACTTAAGGGTTTTCAGGCGTTTCCATGTAGTTGAAACTCAGACTTTCAGATGTATTACAAAATTATGCCGAGACAGCACGCCGGAAGTATCTCCTGCCTTGTTCCCAAGATGGAGGAAGTGAAGACTTCATATTACTCGCAGCACTTTTCACAAACAGGTGGAAACCTGTGGATGTTGCAGTAGCAGCAGGCCACGCTGCAGTAATTGTTGCAACCTGTAAACAGCATCAGTTCATAGCTGTCATCTCCGCGCATCTATTTCAGGAAAATCAGTAATTCCGTATGTTTTGTAACAAATGTATGTATTCTACGAATGTTCGAAGACTGATGATGCAAAGCAATACATGGCGGCACAATCTCCTAATAGCCAAAAGCGTGTTAAAGCTTACATAAGCTGCGGAAAAGCAACATGATAAGAGAGAGAGAGAGTTTTAGCAGATTACCACTGATAACAATGTACCCAGACGTTCGTGCGCTTCTCGAGCTAGCTGCGGGTAGAGGTGGTGCAAGAGAAAGAAACCCAAGGGGGAGTAGAATGCAAGAGATGAGAAGTATCCTCATGAAAATGGTCTTGTAGCTAGCAGACATGTTGAGCTTGATTGGTTAAGCTGATAGCAACACCAGGCTTAAGATGACAGCTTAGTATATATACGTAGTTGTTCGGTGTCCTTTTTGGCAGGTGAGTGTTAGGAAGAGGGAGATCAGTAACTCATTCCCTTTGCCAAGCCTATATAACTTTTTGTCAGGAGGTTTGGATACTCTTGCCAGGTTGAGTTGTTATTTTCTGCAAGTAAGGTGTGATTCATTGTTTTGGTACCAACACAGTAATATTGCATGCATCAACGCACTGATGAAATGGGTGAGAGCAGAACGGTTCAGTTTACAAAGTGCAAAAATGCTAGAACTCCAAAGTAATGTTGATTACTCACTCCGTCCCATAATGTAAGATGTTATTACAACCAATACACAGAGTAGAATCTGCAAATCTGTCCATCATGCATGATATCACCTCATCCTGTAAAAGTCCATAAGATAGAGATTAGAAAGCCCATCGTGTTTTCTCACTACCTTGTTGGCACAGGGTGTTCCATGAGTAATGGGCCTGCTGATTACCTATAGCTCCTGTGTAGCTCAAGCAGAGAACTTAAATACTTAATCACATAGCTCTTGCCATCGGTTGATCAGGACCTCGTCCCCTGGTGGATGTCCACGAGAGATGATCTTCAGGACAAAGATAGAAAGAAGCTGGTTCTCAAAAAAAAAAGATAGAAAGAAGCTGAACTGCATATGTGTGATGTGTGATGACTGTTTGAGCCTTTTTCTTTTCTTTTTTGAACACGATTGTTTGAACCATTTGGAAGGAGCGGAATGCACGCATTTTTTACAACAAGTACACCCCTCTCCTACAGGTCGTGAGTCGGTTAAAAGCGGATGCGGATTAGTATTCAATTTTTTTTATTATTTTTGCCTGTGCTACTAGTGTCTTTCAGTGTTTCAAGGAGTCGTTTCTAAAGAACGCAGGTATACTCCCAAGGTTTTCAGAGGAAAACTAGTGCCTGCCTGAGCCATAGCAGCAGCCACCTGATCATTAAGCACACCTCCTACTAGCTAGATTACTTGAGCAAACGGCATATCAATCGTCGGAAAAGAGGCAAACGGCACATCTACATCAACGGGCCAATGAAAGAGCATTGACCCTTACTTATCCACCACCATGAACTCCACGCAACCAATCCTCGTTTGGCCTCATTAACTTTAGGTAACCAAACTCCAACCACCACCAACAACGCCTTGACAAGACCTGTTTGGCATCCCGGCACAATAACCTACACGTCTTGAGCTCCGTTTGACTCGATCCCTGCACGCCTCAGACCACGCTCGTGCTGCAGGTCAATGGAGGCTTCCACTCCAAAAGCTTCCCTGAATGTTGCACAAGAAGCTTCCACTCCAAAAGCTTGACAAGCAAGAAAAGCAAAAGTTTCTTAGTAATTGCTATCCTATCTGCAGGTCCATTCATGGACTGCCAAAAAGTTGGTCGTGTCAATACAGTCTCAGAGAAACTGCATCTCAAGTAGCCAGAAACACACGTCAGTTGGAAAACATAGGGATTCTGTCAACTCTGCTGTTTGTTTCCTTGGAATTGGAAAACACAGGAAATCCTAATAAACATGGTCAAAGGGAAATTTCCGTGTTTTTTCCTTTGAAACTGGGAGCGAAGGAAAAAATTCCTCCATTTTTCATCTGCCCCATTTTCTTTGAACCAAAGACATGATAGGAAAATTTCCTATTCCTTTGAACCAAAGGAGCCCTTAGGAAGTTAGGAGTCTGCATGTTCTTGCACAGAAAATTGCTTTGGAGATTTGATGTGTCAAACCCAATAAAATAAGCTGAACCCGTCATTGCTCACGTCAAGCTGCCTGCCTTGCCTGCTCCAACTACGCAGGCAGGTCAAGGCAACTCTTGAAAGCATTTAGCAGCCGCGCCATCTCAACGCTGGACAGCTCAGAAGCTCAGCAAAAACAAGGTCGGACAGCTCGAGCCCCAGATCTCAAGTTTCAGCACGTTTCGGCAAACAACCAACCAGGACAAGAAGAAGCGATTCTCGCATATATAATAAAATCAATACAATATACGATCTTAAAGTTCAGTAAGTATAGAACAGGCCGCTCTCAAGGGCTCGTAATATAGACACAGCCCCAGACAGACAGACAGACAGACCCCAGGTGTGTGTGGGAAGAGTTCACTTCCCATCACACCGTAATATAGCTACAAACTCGATAATTACAACACCAATTTGTCTCCTCTGCTTCTCATCGCTCTCCTATACCCTTCTTATCCCCTCCACCTTCACACACTCTCTGTGTACGTACTGTATATAATTTGGGTATCCCGTTTGTGATGCCATGATGGGATTATATTATACACATCCATGTACGTATGTGCAACGTGTGATTACCTTTCCGGTAGAGAACGCGTACGGGGGTGGCTGCTCCGGGCTTTTACCAAACCGTTCCTGCCGAAAATCACCAGGATAGAGCCACCGTTTCCTGGGACTTGGCTCCCTTTGGCCGCCACATGGTCCGGGCCTTCACGATGGTGGGTCCCGATTCCAGGCTCAGCAGATGCTCGCAGTGCAGAGTCGTTTCTCCGGGCTCGTCGGCGCAGTCGGTGTGCACCGTGGTGTGCGACTGCAGGACACTGTTCCGGCCACACTCCCTTTTGTAGTCTAGGACTATGCTCGCCAGTTCATGGTTCTCCAGGATGGAGATTGGCGCGCTCTGAGAGGAAAAAGGAAAACAGGGTCAAGCTAGTTGCGGTGCTGCAGATGTACCGATATATTTCGGCATAACATGCACTGATTAAATGTGAATTTTCCTCATTTCTTTTATGCTGCTCTAGGTCTGTTTCACATGTTCGCGGTTTGCAAGCCAATTACCAAATGATTGTTCTTTGTTTCTGAATGTGTAATCCTCCAACGGACGATACGGTTATCACGTGACACATGCCATATTATCAATCAGACACATGGCCATTGTCTTCATGCACAAGTTCTTTGACAGAAAAAAACGAACGAATGACAAGCAGACAAGTTGTATTAAAGGATTCCAGTCAAGATCTTTTACGAAAGCAACACAAGTGAGCAACATGGTTAGGTACCTAGGTGACCAACCTAACATAGTTAAATCTATCAGATCAGAAGATACATTTCTTCTCCAACTTATATTTTGAAAGGCTAGAGAGACAACTAACGAATAATATTTGCTGAGGTTGGGAATAGGTAGGTGCACACGCTAAGTAGTAGCATAGGCGCATTAGTTCTGGGATATTTGGTCTAATTATAGATAGACTGACTGTTTAACTTCTTGAAACAGTTGGCTCCTCAAGTTCTAGCAACAGACACATAGGAAATAAAACGTGATAAATCATTTATTTGGAAAGTGTCGTGCATTAACAGCATTTTATGTGCACCCACACAACTGTCTGCACAAGGATATGGTCCACAACATGACAACTTAATTGTGATGGAAATGCCACGTGAAAGAATGCTTGACAGCAGAAAGAAATAGGCAACCTCCATGGAGTGTATACATATATAAGATTAAATCAAAACAGCTTCTGAAAGTAGCATATGCTTAACTACAAATCAAGAAGCAATTTTTTATGTCTCAGCGATAAATAAAGATGCACATGAAAGGGAAACTTTGTCTTTTACCTCAAGGATCCAGCCAATGTATTTAACATTATTGACATGCTGATTGATATCAAGATCAGCCCAACGTGGCTGCATCATATATATGATAATAAGTAAACAGCATAAAAAGATAAGAATATACTTGCAACCTTGTACTGTATGTGTGTGCAAAACTTACAGTCAGGCCTGTCCGGACATATTTGGCTGAGGTAGCACGGTCATGCTCTGGCAGTTTTGGAAATTTTCGGTGGTCTTGGTCTTCAATAGCAGCATACTCAGAAAAGAACGGCACTATTTCAGTCCGTACTTCATCTGGAATTCTTGCAAGCTTTCTAGTAAGCTTGTTCATCATAACCCATTTACTGCAAATTTAACGAGAATTAGAATGCATAGATGACAGACTCTGAATA